ACAATTCCTTCCCCTTGGGGCTGTCAGGCGCTGGAAGGGGCTGCCCAGGGAAGGGGTCGAGTCCCCAGCCCTGGGGGGAGTTAACAGCCGGGCAGAGGCGGTGCTGAGGGCCAGGGTTTGGGGGTGGGATGGCAGGGTTAGGTTAATGGTTGGGCTTGATGATCTTAAAGGTCTTTTCCAACCTAAACAATTCTGTATGTTTGTGCTGTGCTATAGGAATTGACATGGGCTGTCAGAGTGCAGGTCCACGTAGCGCTGGGTCCTGTCTTGAACGGTGGCTGATTGCAGATAAGTGAGGAAAAATGCCAAGGCAGCACAGGAATGTTTTCCTGTCCACGCTTCATATGGTCTCCTGGTGTGATATAACCCCCTTCCCAAAGCAGCCCTTCAATCCAGCCTGTTACTGGGACAGGATGGAGTGGGAGGCCTTGGTTTGAGACCTGGGCTCCCATCCTGCAAGGTGCCAGATGTGGTGCAACTGAGAGCAAATGCAGGGAGACAAACATTGGGCTTGTTCAGCCTGGAGAAGAGAAGGCTGCGGGGAGACCTGATTGCGGCCTTTCAGTACCTAAAGGGGGCCTATAGGAAAGATGGGGAAAATCTTTTTAGTAGGGCCAGCAGTGACAGGACAAGGGGTAATGGTTTTAAACTAAAACAGGGAAGGTTTAGACTGGATCTAAGGAAGAAATTCTTTACAATGAGGGTGGTGAAACACTGGAACAGGTTGCCCAGAGAGGGGATGGAGGCCCCATCCCTGGGAACATTCCAGGCCAGGTTGGATGGGGCTGTGAGCAGCCTGATGTGGTTCAAGGTGTCCCTGCTCCTGCGGGGGGGTTGGACTAGATGACCTCTTGGGGGCCCTTCCAACCCGAAACATTCTATGATTCCCCTTCTTACATGATCTTCCTACGAGGTGAGGGACACTTCACCTCTTGGGGTCTGACCTGGTGTCTCCTGCACCTGGGTGGACGGGGGTAGCTGCCAGCCAAAGCCGAAAGCTGTGGCTGCCCACAGTAGTTTTGGGTCACCGGTAACCTACTTGTCACTTCAAGGGGACTGCCAGTGACAGTGAACAGCAGCATGAGAGGGGGAAAGGACTCCGGAAACCTTGGGGAGAGGCAGGGAATGCTCAGCAATCAGCAAATAAAAGCACAGATTTGGGGAAGGGAGATAAGGGCTCTGCTGTCCTCTTAGTGGTACTAAGAGACACTGCTTGCCTATAGTCAACCACTCTCTGTCCTGGTCAGTGCAGGGTGGGGAGGAGGGGACCTGTGTCTAATTATGCTTTGGGGTTCGTAGTGCTGATTGCTTTTTGGGTTGTAGTTTCGACGAGCCTGGCAACTGTCAGCCCCAAGACGTTGAGCTCCCCATGTCTGTGAGTGGCTGCCCATTGCAGCAGACACACAGTTACTGACACAGATACCTCAGGTTGCATGTGAAGAGCTCTGGATTTGATCTGCAGAAGCTCCAGGTGCATTTCCATGTCATCTTGCACCAGAATAAGCATAGACTGCTGCAGGTCGGGGCACTGATTGGGCCAGCTGACAGCAAGCCTGTTTTGGAGGTTAGCGTTCAGCTCACAGTGCAGATGGACACAAGATGGTGCCAGGGCAGGGGAGGAGGCAGGAGAAGTGGGGGGAGACCACAGCAATGCTTGATGAAGGCGCTGTGGAGCCACAGTCTTACGGTTGGCTGGTGAAAGACAGGAAATACTTGAGCAGAAGAATTTTGCTGCAAGGTTCTGGAGAGGTAAAGGTGGGACTGAGATCTTGCCTTTGTTAAACTCCTATGGGGATCAGAGTGCGGAATAAGGATACTCCGTAGCAGGGAAGAGTATGGCGTGTTAGAATGAGATATTTCCCTCTGAAAGGCTCCCTTGTCTCTGTTGAAGGACACAGGATTGGGCAAATTGATTTTGTTAGCTGCAGAGATAAGATAGGAAGCATCTCTTGTGAACCATGGGTTGAAGAGGAAACTCACTGCGATATGAATGCATATACCAGCTTAGGAAATCTTGATAAGTGTGGTGGGTTTTTTTTTTTTAAAAAAAACACAGTATTTCCACCAATTACACACCCATCTTCCTGGTACAGGAGCGCTTGTTTGTTCAGAGTTCATGCAAGAGGCACTATTCCAATGTCAAATTCTCTCTTTTGTCTGCAGTCTGCTTTCAGGGTGTTTACTTCAGTCTGTATGAAGTAGAAATATCAAAGAAGGATCAATATAAAATGGACCAGTTAGTAGAAAACCTAAAGGAAAAGGACTTGGTAAGTATTTTAAAACATTGTCATTCTGGGTGGAAAGTGGCCTTTTCAATGACCTCTTGAAACTTCTGGTAACATTATTCACAGATTCTGAACTAATGCAAGATGGAATTAATTTCCCTGCTTTAATTACTATTTTCCTGCTTGGTTATTCTCAAACATAGTTTAGTCTTTCTTTATATAAACTGTTAACTGAAGTTTACCCACTGTGAGCTGGGAACTGATGTCTAGGGTGAGCACGCCCTGCTGAGCAGAAGGCATTATACCAGGCAAACTTCTTCTTTGGCTGTTTATACCAGATGAGATTATTTTATTGTCTTTATTAAATGATTTTCCCCCTGCGTTGTGAACAGCATGATGGACAAGGACTGCAAGGGGATCTTATATGTTAAGAAAGCAGAAGCAAAGTCCCTCAGGGCCAGAACGATAATTACTAAGCAAAAGATATAAGCTGACACATGCCTGCCCTTCTCTGTCGTGGCTGAAAAATAGCCCCCACTCAGCTAGATACTCACGGTTATGCTGCCAAAACCTCATGGGCTTTCGGGAGCAATGAAGATGCTGGGATTTATCCTTTTTTTTTAATGGAGAATTTCCTTTGCAGTGTATTATCTGATAAGGCTTTTTTCCAGCACACTTGGGTCTTTTTGTTCCCAGTGTGATTGTCACCTCACCTTGTGACTCCAAAGGGGTAAATCTCACCCCTGTGGAGCACTGCACCTGCGTCTCTGCTGGGGTTTGTGGTTGGCTTGGGTTTGGCTTTGCCGCTGCTGCTTGCTCTCTCACATCTGATGCTTCCTGTAGATTCAGGGTTGTAAATTCATGGCCGCAAACTTGTGGCTGGCTGAGCACAATCCTTCCCTCGCTATAAATTGGCAGTGGCCCATGAACTGCCTGGAAGTGCTGTGGCTGTGCACCACTGCTGAAGAGCTGCCCACCGATGTGCAGCTTCCCATGTGTAACGTACCGGAGCAAGTGTTTATTGTGGATCCCTGTAAGAAAAACAATCATCTGACTCCCTACAGTACTGATTCAACTATTTTTTATTGGTAACAACATGAGAAGAAAAAAAAAAGGGAGTAGCAAAGACAATCTTAATGTTCCTAATTCATGGCCGCAAACTTGTGGCTGGCTGAGCACAATCCTTCCCTCGCTATAAATTGGCAGTGGCCCATGAACTGCCTGGAAGTGCTGTGGCTGTGCACCACTGCTGAAGAGCTGCCCACCGATGTGCAGCTTCCCATGTGTAACGTACCGGAGCAAGTGTTTATTGTGGATCCCTGTAAGAAAAACAATCATCTGACTCCCTACAGTACTGATTCAACTATTTTTTATTGGTAACAACATGAGAAGAAAAAAAAAAAAGGGAGTAGCAAAGACAATCTTAATGTCCCTTCACACGCAGGTAATCGTGAAGTGTGCAGCATCAGTTGGACCTCTGGTTGGGGCACAGATCTGTCCATGCCGCTGCTCATCTTGAGGTTCCCAGCATCTGAAGGGACATACGTTTATCTATGCTATCCCTTCTTTTCTTCTCCTGTTCTCACCAATAAAAGGTATTTTAATCAATACTTTACAGAGTCCAGGTGCCTTTTTTACCGGGATCTATGACAATTGCTTGTACTGGTGCATTACACCATGTCTGCAGCCACCGAGGGTTATGACACACATCCTCTCTAGAGGAGTCAGGGGAGAGGAGATAGTTGAGTTGTGGTTGTGAGCGGTGTGGTATTGAAAGCCAGCGGGAGCATCACTTCCTCACCCTCATATATCTGTCAAACTGGATTAAAGTATCTCCCCCATTTCTGTGAAGAAACAGTCACAGGCCATTTTGGGTGTGCTCCTTCCCTCCCCTTAGCATGCTGTTGAATGGCCCATGGGTGAATCTGCTTTGATGGCAGCTCCTGAAAGTGCAAATGAATAATGCCCTCCGCCTCCTTTCCCTTTTAGCAGTGCGTGGGCCAGGCACCCACCTTGCACAGGGCCCAAATGAAAAAGAAAGGGTGGCTGGGGCTAGGTGGGGTTGCCTGAGGCCAGCTGCACTCCTCTGGGGGCCGAGTGACCTCTCTCAGCTCTCTGTCAGGTAGCTGCTGCCTTATGGCTTGACTTTCCTCCCCTCACCTGCCTGAAAATCATACTGTCAGTGAGGAACCACAGCTATTTCATTGAGCTGGATTTATGCAGCAGAGATGCTGGGGCTCTTATCCCTTCTGCTCTGTGGGCTTGAGACAAGCAAAGCAAAGAGTTCTGAAATGGTTCAGCATTTCTGAAGTTGTTCTGTTGTCCTGGAGAAATGAGGCTGTGGGCATTAGTCCAATCCTCTGTTATGTCTGAACCTACTGAATGGGAACAGCAAAATTTCACAGAGCATTAGAAGCCCTAGGGTTATTCAGTTCCTGTAAGTTTCCTGAAAAGATGTGTCTGCCTGGAAGAAAGAGATGCAAATGGGTGTCCCTACGGAGGGAAAGGCAGTCCGAGCCAAGCTCTGCGATGAGGCATCAAGCAACACCCAAACACAAGAAAAGCCTCGATAAGTGCGTATATCTTTTTAGACATGCGGTCATCCAGCAGGATAAGACAGAGTCACAGGTGTCTCTGGGACTCAGCGAATTTTTTTTCACATATTCATTGATACTGATGCTGTTAATAAGCAAGCTGCATGGCCTGACCTTCAGTCAGGCTTGTGGCTGGGACGGTTGGTTGTGTTTTGTCAGATGCTGGTGTCCAGCTTTGCTTTCCCTGCTGGGAAAACCTTCCCCTCAGGCTGCGGAAAGCAATTCCTGGCTAAGATGCCCAGGAGCTTTTGAACTGAAGGGACTAAAGTTATTAACCTTGTTCATTAATTACAGCTAGTTTGGGTAAGCATATTCATTTTTTTAAGGAATAGATGGGAGGAATTTGAATGCTGAACAACATCATAAATGGAACGCTTTCGGTCACAGGTCCCAGTTGACCCAAGTGGCATGGAATGAGCTGATGGTTTTGGCACACGTTCACCGGCAATCAGGGCTTTTTGACAGTCATGCTGAGTGGTGTAAAGTGTGTTAAGGAGGAAAGGGAGCGGTTGCTCTAACTTTTTATGTGTTTGCTACAGGCAATCATCAAATATTTACAAGATCAAGGGGTCCTTATCCTCCTCACGTCCTCTGCCTTGGCACGAGATGATGGTAAGACATGGCTACATAGAAACCATTATCTGTGCTTAAACATCTTGCTCTGCTTTAGAGATGGAGGGTGGGCACCCTCAGCCTAAACAAAACCTGTTGCTTTTTTTCATAGGGTTCGACCCTAAGGAGCCTGTCAGCCTCCTGGCCCTGTTTCTGTTCACCTCATCGCGGTCGGTGTGCCTGAGAGGTAGGGACGTTCCCTTTGCTAGCTTCAGACACAGTGTTTTGGGCGTGGGATCCTCATCAAGAGGTTCCTCACAGACACGTTCCTCTTGAAGAGCCAATTTTTCTGCTGAGAACCACTTACAGCTTTAGCAGAAGGGGTGTTAAAAAAGAGAGGAAAGTCCCAACTCTCTAGCTATGCTGCATTTTAAACTGATCTCTTCCTGCCTCTCCCATTCACTGTACGTCCTTGCCCCTTTGGAGGAAGTTGGTGGGAGCAATAAATAATTACTTTTCTTCCTCTCAGTCAGTTTTCAGCAGCGTCCACTCCCTGAACTGTCTTATATGTGCACATGGGAGTCTGACTCCTGCAGAACCTGGCTTACATCCCTAAAGGTTCACTGGAGCTGTGCTCAGGGGGCGAAACGATCCATGGCACTCACTGGACCCTGCATGGAGCTGATGTGATTTGCTAAACAGCCTGCCCTAAAAAATAAGTTAATTGTTTTTTGCTGTGATAACAAGTAAAATGGGCTCTGAAAGGTCACTGCTGGCGTAGGGAGGGAGAGCAGAGGTAGGGAAGGGGCATTGCTCCCTAAAGAGCAGCGAGGGTTTGGAGGCTCAGCTGTGTTGTGTGACTTCTCTGCTGTGGGATCCATAAATGCTGGTAGTGGGGCCATGACGACCGGTCAGTGTGTGACGGCTGAGGGAAGGTGGCAAGGAGATGGTGCTGGGCAGAGCTGCGATACTTTGCTGCCATCGAGGTGAGTCACAGCTCTGGGACCTGAGGTGAATCCAGGCTGTCTGTGGCCCCAAAACACGCTGCTTTTCATGTAGAACAAACACAGAGGCACTAAATAAGAGAAGATAAAGATTGCATAGTTTGAACCTGCAGATCTTGAAATAAGAATAAGCTCAACCCCTGTTGCATTTGCCTCAGATTTTCTCTGTTGACTTTTTGCTGCACCATCCATGTGGAAATACTCATGCGACCATTTCCTCTTGTGGACGTAACAAAAGTTACTGCTCTGCCTCCCCTGGAGAGCTTCATCTGCGCATTTCTTACTCCACCAGTAATACTTGCAGCCTTACAGATCCCCAAGCAACGTATAAACAGGGGCCCTTTGCTCTGCGTAAGTCTGGCTTGCTTTTTGTTGAGTCATCCGAGGGACAAGCCAAGGGACTGTTTATGCCAGCACGCACTGGTATTTCAGTCCGCCTCTGTGTGAGTGATGGCTGGCATTGCTGACAGAGCTGCACAGGACATACCCAGCTCCCCTCCCCAGAAGATAAAAATAGGCAGAAGGGCCGTCAGGACCTACCAGCGCATCTGAGCATGGATTGCTTTGTCCGTTTCAGTGTTTAACCGCCAGCTATAAACTTTCTCCTTCAGGATCTGCATACGAAGCGGGCTTGTAAGTCAGGTGAAGACGTGATGGTAACTTGTCAGTGCGTGGTGCGAGTGTCTTCGATGCCTGAATTCAGTCAGCCTAACTTTAAGCACACGCTGCTGGCAGCTGTGTTAGCGTGGCAACTTTTCTAGTTTCTTTTCTAGGCAAAGGAGAGAGACGGGCTCCTCCTGAGGCAGACCGAAGATCCAAAGTGCCAGGTCAAACCTGGGATCAGGTTGTTGCTGTAATGCCTGAAGTTGGGTGAGGTGAAGGGGGAAAACATATGGAGACCAGGCTGGAGGTGGGAACTGGCCACCCAGATATTGAGATCTTGCTGCCTAGACCCACAGCGGTCATAAAATACCCTCCAGAGCAGAGGGCTCTGTTCCTGAAAGACTGACTGTGAGCACTATATGCTGGGGAAGAGGAGAACAGGGCAAGGATGTGTTTTATCTTGAAGAAGGTTATTGTGGAAGAAGGTGGAGGCAGGAGAGGGAAGCGGGCATAAGGAACATCCCAGAGTAAAGACAGTGCAAGTGGTTGGTAGGAAGGTTTGGGGCTGTAGCAGACGTCACCTGTGGCTGGTGTCGATGCTAAAGAGGAGGCAAAGCATGGGCAACTGGAGAGGAGCTAGCAGCGAAGCGAAGAGGCAGGGGGAGAGGATAATGTTGAGCAAACACTCAGCGTTGTTACGTGATGGGATCTGAACGTTGATGGCTTCCAGATGTTTTCCCTCTGGTGCCAGCAGTATTCCTGCACGTGCTGTCCCATTCTGCCTACGCAAGCAGCATTACCCCGGCCAGCCCTGACTGTTCCCTGGGTCCGAGACCTCTTTTCGCTGGGATCATAAACCTTTAGGGTTTCGCCTTTCTATGAAGATAAGCAGAGCTGTGCAGGGGTTTGGGGTTGAAAACGGATGGTCACCGAAAACAGCAGGGGTGCAGAGGAGATGCAAAGAGAAAAGGAGGGTGAAGGACAGACGCATTTGAAGTCGCTCAGCTCAGACTCGACGCATGAATAATGTTTCCTATTTCGAAACAAGCAGCCTCTGAAGCTCTTCCCTTCCTGTCCAGACAGCCGTTGTGAGGAATGTAGGGCAGGCGTAACAAGCCCGCTGTGCAGACATGCCTGAGCCAGCAGCAGAGGCAGGCAGCTGGGATCTGGCTTGCAGGGATGCCTGGGTTTGCCGGTAACAAGGACCGGCATTGCCAGTGCAAGGCAGCAGCAGGGCCAATAGGCGAATAAAATCATCCATGTGGGAGGGGAAGAGAAATACCTTTGCCTTGCTGGGAAAAGATGTGACGAGGAAGGGTGCTGGGATTGTCAGCGTGGCCTTGCAGCCAAAAGAAACCTCGGAGTCCGATCATAACACACAGATGGGCCAAGCCTGCAGAGGCAAAGCGCTGACATCAGACCACTGGGTTGCAGCGGATGAAGCTGAATTAAGTCTGGCTTGTGTGGAAAGGGAGCTCCACCGACAGGCTCTGCATATTACACCAGCTCTCCAGGCATTTCCAGACACCAAGAGGAAGCTGCTGTGCCAAGCAGAGCCCACTTCCACGGTGACATCTGCGAGGGCATGCACCCTCAAGCTTTGGGACTCATTCGTGTTGATCCCTAGTGGGAGCTAAACTTTATGATGCTATGCACTGTACGTGGTAGGGTGTTAGTCCTGCTGA